TTAGTTTTTGCCGGCAGATGAGGTAACGGTCAGGGTCACATTGCGTGACGATTTCAGATTCATGTTCATGTTTTTACCGGTTTCATGTTGAGGATATGTATATGCTGATATCATTATGTTGTTATTATTTTCAATATTTACATTAGTATGAGTTTCCACGGAGCACAATGCCATAGTGCTCATTTCCCATTGTTATCATGTTTTTCAGGTCAGGATGTCGGGCAGGGAGCGTGAGCAGAGGATGGCTTCAGGACTTTCATGTTTTGATTGTATATTTTATTATGACGATTTACGTTTCCGCTGATGATGACTTTTGACGAACTTATATTTTGAGGGACTTTTGGAAAACTTTATGTTTCAGTAACAGTAATATTTTATTAAAAAATTAAAATAACGGTTTTCCAAAATAAGTCACATTTTTAAGGTAGCACCCCGAATCAGTTTTCGCAAAGTAAAAGATTTATTTTTAAAAGACAGCGCGAAATTTTCGCACTCTGATTTTACGATAAGGAGGGGTGTTACAATTGGTATCAGAGCACGTTTCCGCGTCTCTTAAAAAGTTTTTCAGTCAGTAATTTTTTAGAAAAACCTGAACCGTCATGCTCACGCCCCGCCGACGACAGGTAAGTGTTGATTTATGTTTTCAGTTATAAATATATTACTTTGTCTATGCTCAGAATTAAGGATCAGGACTTTAGTGAAGATGCTCGAATCAGGTTCAGACTTTATAGTTCGGACATGACTCTAGAATTCAGGGCATTCAAATATGACTCTAGACTTAAGTATCTTTCGATATGACTCTAGAGTTCTTCAGGATTTATGTCAGTAATTATCGGCCATTTTTGGCAACTCGTCAAGAGATTTGTGTGCCTTAGTAATAAGTCAGAATGTTATCACGTATTCAGTAATGTTAAATCTTCTCAATATCCAGATGCCGCCACGTAGGGAACCCAATCATCAGGCTCCTACTCAGGCTACGGTAGTCGCTCAGTTCCGCGACTATCACGCTGAAAAGTTCTCAGGGCAGGGAGATCCCCGCATTGTAGATGAATGGATTCAGGGTTTGGAGTTTATCTTTGAGATCATGGACTGCCCCGATAGATATCGCGTAGTTTGCGCTCAACTTCAGCTCACTGGTGATGCTAGGCTCTGGTGGAATGCCTACTGGAGCATGCGTCCCGGTGAAAAAGCGGGTTGTACATGGGACATGCTCAAGAAGCTAGTCCGCGAAAAGTACTACCCCGCTTACTATCGGGCAGAGATGGAGCGTCAGTTCTTAGCGCTCCAGCAGGGCATTCGTATGGTTGATGAGTACGAGAGAGAGTTCACTAGACTTGCAGCTTTCATACCGGACCTAGTTCGCACGGAGGCTCAGAGAGCGCAGTGGTTCATTGACGGGCTTTACCCAGCAGTCCGTCACGACATCATAGGACACGGGACTCAGACCTACGCTCGTGCAGTTTCTATCGCCCAGGAGGTGGACGCTAGCATCAGGAGGGAGGCAGTTCGTGATCGTGCCCAGCCATCCGCCCTAGTTCAGCCATTCGCAGCTCTACCAGCTCTACCAGATCCTCAGCCGGTAAAGGAAAAGAAGAGGAAGGGGAAGGGCGCACAGACTGACCGGAGGACCCGACAGAGACAGCAGCAGGTTCCACCGTGCCCGACTTGCGGATGACTTCACAAGGGAGAGTGCTACATGGGACAGGACATCTGTTATTACTGCCACGAGCCTGGACATTTTGCGAGTCGCTGTCCGAAGAGACTTCAGCAGCAGCCCCAGCAGCCTCAGCAGCCACCACAACAGCAGCAGCCACGTCAGCAGGCACAGAGGCCGCCTCAGCAGCAGCAGCAGAGGGGCAGACAGCAGGCCCGGGTTTATGCGGTTGATCAGGCAGAGGCAGCACAGCAGCCAGGTACTATGTCAGAGATGGTTGTGCTTAATGATATTCCTGTTTTCACTTTGTTCGATACTGGAGCAACGCATTCATTCATATCACGACGATGTCTCGAGGCCATCGGAGTTCATGCCGTTACTACTGTCGATCCTCTCGAGGTGAGTCTAGCCTCGGGGCAAAAGATAGTGACCTCAGCTAAAGCCTCAGATCTTAGCCTCTCCATCGGTGGTCGTTTATTGTCTACCGATGCGTTTGTTCTCGAGATGAGGGACTTCGACCTTATTCTCAGAATGGATTGGCTATCCTTCTATCATGCCGATATCAGATGTCATGACCAGGAGATCACTCTCTATCTTCCGGGAGATGAGTCGATCACTTTCTATGGCTCCAGGAATCGTTCACTGCCTCATGTTGTTTCGATGGCGAAAGCCACTAAGTTAGTGCGACGAGGCAACTGCCAGGGTTATCTGGTTAGCCTTGTCGACGATTCTCAGAAAGCAAGCTCACCTCATGATGTTCCAATCGTTCGTGAGTTTGTGGACGTGTTCCCAGACGAGCTTCCAAGAGGACCGCCTAAGGAGTTGCAGGAGCTTAAGACCCAGATTCAGGAGCTATTACGACTCAGTTTCATCCGACCGAGCGTGTCACCTTGGGGAGCACCCGTTCTCTTTGTTAAGAAGAAGGACGGATCCATGCGTATGTGTATCGCCTACCGGATCTTAAACGGTTGACGATCAAGAACAAGTATCCGCTTCCCAGGATCGACGACTTATTTGATCAGTTGAGGGGAGCCTGTGTATTCTCAAAGATTGATTTACGATCTGGCTACCATCAGCTGAAGATTAAGGAGTCAGATATCGCTAAGACCGCTTTTAGGACCCGTTACGGCCATTACGAGTTCGTCGTCATGCCTTTCGGTCTCAGCAATGCGCCAGCAGTCTTCATGGACCTCATGAACTGTATTTTCCATCCCTACCTCGATCAGTTCGTTATTGTCTTTATTGACAATATTCTCATCTACTCGAAGAGCTAGAAGGAGCACGAGGAGCATCTGAGGGTGGTTCTCGAAACCCTCAGACGAGAAAAGTTGTTTGCGAAGTTCTCCAAATGCGAGTTCGGGCTCCAGCGAGTATCCTTTCTGGGTCATGTGATTACTCAGGCAGGTATCGAGGTAGATCCTTCCAAGGTCTCAGCCGTTCAGAACTGGTCGACACCGAGGAGTCCGTCCGAGGTTCGCAGTTATCTCGGATTAGCTAGTTATTACCGCAGGTTTATCGAGGGCTTTTCCAAGATCGCCCTCCCTCTATCCCAGCTGACGAGGAAGTCTGTGAAGTTCGAGTGGACTGATCGTTGTGAGGCGAGCTTTCAGGAGCTCAAGAAGAGATTAACTTCAGCACCGGTGTTGACTATTCCCGATCCTTCTCGGAGTTTCACTATCTTCAGCGATGCTTCGAGACAGGGCTTTGGGATGTGTCCTTATGCAGGATGGCCAGGTCGTTGCGTATGCTTCACGTTAGCTTAAGCCTCATGAGTAGAACTATCCGACGCACGACTTGGAGTTAGCAGCAGTCGTTCATGCTCTCAAGATCTGGCGACATTATCTTTATGGCGGACGTTGCGAGATTTTCACAGATCATAAGAGCCTGCAGTACATCTTCAAGCAGAAGGAGCTCAATATGAGACAGCGTCGTTGGCTCGAACTTGTCAAGGATTATGACTGCTCTATTCAGTATCATCCAGGGAAGGCGAACATCGTCGCAGATGCCCTAAGCCGAAAGGTGAAAGGTGACTTGACGTACGCCATTACTCAGCAAAGTTCGTTGATTCAGGAGTTTGCCCGGATGCAGCTTCAGGCAATCGATGCATTTCCCGTAGCCATTTCGGGGAGTACCAGTGTCAGTGTTAATGCCATGCAGCTTCAGCTGACGCTGAGAGAGAGAATCCAGCGAGAGCAGGCTTCTGACGAGTTTGTTCGTGTCATGGAGGCCAAGGTTCACGCTGGAGGCGTCGAGGATTTCCAGTTAGGTGCCGATGGTGCCTTAGAGTTCAGAGGCAGGATCGTGGTCTCGAAGGTCGAGGCGTTGCGGAAGGAGATTTTATCAGAGGCTCATACCGCACCCTATCTAGCCCATCCCGGGAGCACGAAGATGTATCATGACTTGAAAGGGTCGTTCTGGTGGCGAGGCATGAAGAAGGACGTCGCCGAGTTCGTCAGGAGATGTCTTACCTATCAGCAAGTCAAAGTCGAACATCAGAGTCCGATCGGCCTCCTGCAGCCACTGCCGATTCCGAGGTGGAAGTGGGAGGAAGTCACGATGGATTTCGTTACGGGATTACCGAGGTCGTCTGAACATCACGACGCTATCTGGGTCGTGGTCGACAGATTGACTAAGGTCGCGCATTTCTTACCCGTTTCGATGAAGATGTCTCATGACAAGTTGGCTGAGATATATACCCGTGGGATCATCCGACTCCACGGAGTGCCCGTTACGATTGTATCAGACAGAGACCCCAGATTCGTCAGTCGATTCTGGCACAGTCTACATGAGGCGATGGGCACGAAGCTAGAGTTCAGTTCAGCCTACCATCCGGAGACGGACGGTCAGTCAAAGCGGACTATTTAGATGCTTGAAGATATGCTTTGCGCTTTGGTTTTTGACAGGGGTGCTAAGTGGGAGTCACTGTTGTCGTACGCCGAGTTCGCGTATAACAACAGCTATCATTCTTCCATTCAAATGGCTCCTTACGAGACACTTTATGGTCGCAAGTGTTGTTCCCCTCTCTATTGGGACGACGTCGGAGAGCGGTGAGTACTCGGTCCTAAGCTGATCGAGGAGATGGCAGATCAAGTCGAGTTGATCCGGCAGAGACTCAGGACAGCTCAGAGTCGACAGAAATCTTCCGCCGATCATCATCGACGAGACATTCAGTTCGAGGTTGGCGAGCCAGCCGTTCTCAGAGTTCGTCCGAT